AAAAAAAAAAAAAAAAAAAAAACGAGTCTAAGAAGGATCGTGGAAAGAAAGAAAAGCGGGACCAGAAGGGGAAAGGAAGGACAGAGAAGGGAAGAGGAAATGAAGGGGAGTGGGGACTGGGGAGAGAGAACAACAAAAGGTCAAAAATGATGAAGAGGAAGAAAATAGAGGATGGTTTGTCCAGAAGGAGAGAGAGGAGGGGGGAAAGAAAGCGAGATGATAATGGAGATGAGAGAGAGGGAGAGGGAGAGGGAGAGAGAGAGAGAGAGAGAGAGGGAGAGAGGAGGAGGGGGGAAGTCAGAGAAGTCAGGGAAGTCAGAGAGGGCGGGAAAAATGCGAGGAATCGGATTCTGGGGGGAAGAGAAAGAGTGAGTGTGAGGGTGAGAGACGAACCTACCTGGTGGTGTTACGGCAAGAAGAGTCTCAAGGCGACGACATGGACGGTTCTTTTGTCTTCTTCTGATTTTTCTTCTTCGTTTCCTGCTCTCTTCCTATTCTCTGTTCTTTTCCTCAGATCTTTCTTGCTTCTCGTACTATTGCTTTCCCCCAAAACAAAACGATATATCAGGTGGATGATGGAGGAATGACGAGGGGTGTCCAGATCCAACCAGTCGAGATTCAGAAGATCCCACAGGAGAAGGGACGGGAATTGGAGGGATCGAAGGAATAAGGTATTTAGCGGAGGAATAGCGTCGGTTCCAATGTTTGTAAGGGAAAGGAATGATCAATCTGAGGATTGACCAAGAAGGGGAAAAGGAAAAAAAAAAAAGAAAAAGAAAAAAGAAAAAAAAGAAAGAAAGAAAAAGAAAAAGAAAAAGGAAAAAGGTGTAAAGCGGAGAGCCTGGAAGGTTAGTCAAGGAGGGAGAATCAACTGTGTATGATGACTTTCACCACGAACATACAAAAGTTTTTAATATGTATTTAATGGTGCCAAAGAAGATAATGATCATGATAATATTCTATGATTATGATGTTATAAAAGGAATGAAAGAAATGGAAAAATGAACGGTAATAAAAATCCAGCGGGGGAGAAAACCCAAGGGACACACTTGAGTACACGGGGTATCGTGTAAAAACCACACACTTGACTCGTCCAAAGGTGTGAAAGTTCAAAGGGGTAAAAAAAAAAAAAAAAAAAAAAAATACCAATACCAATACCAATACTGATGATACTCATCTTGATCAAATTAAGATAGTGGCAATAATAATAAACTATCTTTTGTTGATAAATTAACAACAACAAAAACGACAGATACCTTTTGATTTGGTTGATTTGATTCAAGTGGAGTCCCAGGCGAGGGCGAGGAACGAAAGAAAGAAAGGTTGAACCAGAGACAACTCCCTGGAACACCCAGGGTGGAATACTAACAGAGATCAAACCCCTCGAAACCTGGAATGTTGGAAACAAACAAGACTGTTCTGGCCTAGTTTATCTAATCGGGGTCAGCTCAACCCAATCTTGTTGGTCAGGAGGAACGCGGATCTCCTCCACTCGACTTTTAGGTATGATTGTCTTCGCTTTCAATTTACATTAATTACGGAGTCCATCGATGGAGTCAATCCATCTATTTATCTACCTGGGGATGGGGATCGTTCTCCATCCGTTGATGTGATTACTCCGAGTCAGTTGGTCTCGAACCAGAGACATCTAGATATACTCAACCAGAATCGTTAAAAGGTCAATCTACCAACACCATGGAAATCCTCTGAATCTAGTCAAACCCCCGGGTCCGGATTTAAACCGATGGGATTGATTGTTGTGTTCAACTATACCAGTGTGGAGACGGCTCTATAAAATCATGCGGTGCGTGGACCGAACGCACCACTCTGCCGTCTTTTTTTACTCTCTACGGCCACAATTGCCACGGCCGTCCAGTATCCCTTCTAAGATACATATCAGGTAAACTAAGTAAGTATGATACGGTACCTATGGCATTCGGGACCCGTACAGGACGGTTCCTGACCACTGAACCGTCTGTCTGCCACTCCTCTCACCATCGGCCTCGTTGGTCAGAGACTCGAAGGCTATCTGGAAGAGTATCCGTCGATTGATGGTGGATACTATGTCAAACCCAACCCTGCAAACGAAGCATGGCGATCATCTCCCCAAACCACCGACATGGCGATCGCCTATCCGTCACTCACGTCCCACTACCATCGTCTGTAAACAAAAGCCTCGAGCAAAAAGACGAAAGGAAGTCATCAACCGTCGAGGAATCTGGAACACGGCGGATACGGAACGGTTGCACCGCGCGGATATGGGAAGGCTAATTTAAATCATCCGTGGAGTAGTCAGTCAGTGAGATGGTAATTATTCCTCTGGCATCATCACTCTGAACACGACCTGGATACGGATCAGGCAAATCGATCTCTTCTATTCTTGTGTTCCGGTGGCTTTCTTCATCTCCAAATGAACTGCCAGGCCATCGTCCAGCAATCATCTTACTGGCCATCTTCTCATCTCAGTGGCAAATCTCCCTTGTCTCGAAGTTGACCTAGAGGCTTCGTCTTCTAATCTGTTCGGGGATCAGGGAAATTATAGCCGATCAAGGTTCGAATCAGGAGCTATCAAGGGGTCGTACTCTCGAGATCATACTCCTCTTTCTAGTACATGGTACTAATACCACTCATCGCTAATACAGTCCGACGACTTCCCAACATATCTACATAGATTAAGCCAACCACCCTCCAACCCTTGACAACGGTCGCGTGTGGGATCCACCAAATGCGCGCGAGACCAATCGACGCTGCCAGGCTGGAAAAGACTCCCTCCCTCGTCGAAGGCCGCCACATGCAACTATTCCCGATTAGGCCCATGCATCCCAAATTATGTAAGTCGAAATTATCAAAACTAGAAACTAAGAACAAAAAAGGCATAAGATCATGCCTTTGTGGTTCTTAGCGGTCGTGACCTGACTCAGGAGACACAGGGTTCTGGGATGTTTTTGGTCATCGCGGACGGCATGTGGGAATGGTACTTGTGTATGTTGGCTCTTTTGAGCCCACTACCTTCTGGATGATATATACTAGGGATATCACTAGCCTTGCTGGATGATGAGGCTTGATCAGGGTGCCTACGGAGTAGATATGCTTTGACATCATAGCTATATGTGGAGGTTAAATGACCATCCCAGTGTGTGCCGTCATATCATGGGACATATATATCATGGACCAACCAGTATTATTATACTGTTGACCGCCATGGATACTCCCGAACTCTAAACCACCATAAGAGCAAGACAGACGAAATATCTAATCATCCCACACATTATATCCATCCATGATTGCTGCACTGATTGCTTCGATGATTACGAGGCTGACAGGAATCGGGAACCTTGTTCCGCGGGACTGTAGTCCGTACCGGGATCTGGCTACAGATACAGGCCTAGGATCTGCACGTTCCTAGGATTCAACAAAGGTATCATCGGATACAGCATGTGAGGCGAGCATTCTTTCAGGCTAACCTGGGATAAATCAGGCAAGTATACATATATATATATATATATATTTCTATATCTGTAGAAACCGCCAAGGTAGGCATGTATATAAACGAATCCACCACTCATGAGTATAGAAATCAGCAAGTCATCCCGGTGATAAAGTCCCACGCATGATTTTCATCGAGGGGTTGCCAGTCCGTACGGATCTGTGATCCTTCAATCGAGATCATGGGACAGGACAGGAGTCTACTACGTAGCTCAGCTGAGAGGTGCAGCGACCTTGCATGCGCTGGCGTCTGTACTTTTGCTGGTTTGGAACCAAACCAGGTCTGTTAGCCGATGTATACAATGTCAGGTGGATTAACGGCTGAAGCATGGAGATGCGTGGCTATAATCAACCATAATCATCACTGTCAAGAGTCAGCCTGTGTACTCCATAAGATAACCAAGTTATGCTAAGATAGTTTATGTATGTCTGAGTCATCGGAAAAAATAATGATGGCGGGGTACTGGTCACGGGATGGCGGTAGTGGTGCGCACCGCCTACCGTAAAGTGACTCGTTGTGCCCGCCAAAAAAGAGTCACAATTCGGCATTATCGATATCTGAGTCAAAAAACGCCCCTCTCCAGATCTCCCAGGTTTGGCCCGTCCCACCAGCCTCCTTCCTCCGTCCTCTTCTCCTCCAACTCGCCTCCTACCGCGTCCCCCCTTGTGGACTACGAATCTAGCCATGGCGTCCGATATGACGAGCCCCATTCTGGACGCCCTGTCCGCGTCCGATGCCCCGATCCTCTCCAGCACCGCCTTCCCCTCCACCCCCTCGTTAAATATCAAGAGCGCGCTCGATCGGCTAGCCTCGCGGGATATGGTCAAATATGATACAATCGACAAGGAAGTCGTTGCCTTGACCAAGGAAGGCGACGAGATCGCCGCCAATGGCAGCCACGAGGCCAAGGTCTTCCAGGCGGTGGTCGCCGCCATGGACGGGTTGAAGATCGGCGATCTGCCGGGGATTGTCGGCAAGGAAAACGCCAAGCTGGGCCAGGGGAATGCCTTCAAGAGAGGTTGGATCAAGAAGGACAGCGACCTCCTCCGAGCGACCGCCGAGTCCATCGTCGACGAGACCCGCGAGCAGCTGTTGACCGTGCAGAAGACCAGCACCCTCAACGACCAGAAGGCCCTGACGGACCTGAAGCGGCGGAAACTGGTCTCGATCCAGAAAGTGATCACCTTCCAGATCTCCAAGGGCCCCAAGTTCGCGCGCGAGTTCGTCAAGGAGGAGACGGACCTGACGGCCGACATGCTGGTCAACGGGTCGTGGAAGTCCGCCCACTTCAAGCCCTACAACTTCAAGGCCAAGGGCGCCCCGACCCCGGCCGGCGCCTTCCACCCGCTCAACAAGGTCCGACAGGAATTCCGCAATATCTTCTTCGAGATGGGCTTCGAGGAGATGCCCACCAACCGCTTCGTCGAGACGGGCTTCTGGAACTTCGACGCCCTCTTCGTCCCGCAGCAACACCCCGCCCGCGACCTCCAGGACACCTTCTACATCTCCGACCCGGCGACAGCTGACCCTCCGCGCGAGGACCCGCCCAACGACCCGCACCAGCTCCGGTCCGCACAGCTCACCTCGTCAAGCACCACGCCCGAGAAGCCCCGCGACTACCAGCAGTACTGGGACAACGTGCGCCAGGTCCACGAGGAAGGCAAGTACGGCTCCATCGGCTACCGGTACCCCTGGGACCCGCAGGAGTCGCTACGCCTGGTGCTGCGCACGCACACGACCTCCGTCTCGACTTACGTCCTGCACAAGCTGGCGGCGAACCCGCGCCCCGCGCGCTACTTCAGCATCGACCGGGTCTTCCGCAACGAGGCCGTCGACGCAACCCATCTGGCGGAGTTCCACCAGATCGAGGGTGTCATCGCTGACTTCGGCCTCACGCTGGGCGGCCTGATCGGCTTCATGGAGGTCTTCTTCGCCAAGATGGGCATCCACCAGCTGCGCTTCAAGCCCGCTTACAACCCTTACACCGAGCCCAGTATGGAGATTTTCGGCTACCACGAGGGTCTGGCCAAGTGGGTGGAGATCGGTAACAGCGGCATGTTCCGTCCGGAGATGCTCGAGTCGATGGGTATTCCTAAGAACATGAGAGTTTACGGATGGGGGTTGAGTTTGGAGCGACCTACCATGATCAAGTGAGTTTTTTTTCTTTTCCCCCTTTCCCCCCAGAGGGAACATCACCAGAAACAAATACTGACAATCCTAGATACGGCGTGAGCAACATCCGAGAACTCCTCGGCCACAAAGTCGACCTCAACTTCATCGAGACCAACCCGGCTGTCAGATTGGAGAAGGACTAAGCTTGTTTCATGGAAATGAATATTAAAAAAAAACAAAATGCATTAAGATAAAGAAGGAGCTAGACAGTATTTAACCTAGCCAGTCGTGACGGGAGTATAGAGCTGTCTGTTTACAAAGTTTATGATATCGTTGTTTTGCTTTCTTTTCTATATTCTTTTGTTATTCTTCTTTCTTTTTTGAAAAGCACGGGTTTATGAGATTACGCAGATGACAGACAGACATACATACAGTATAGTGTGGTAGATATCTATCTACGTTTTATAAGCGAGTAAAAATAAGAAGGGAACCAAGACAGAAGTACGGAGTAGATCATCGCATCTATGTATCTTCCCACGACACGACCTCACCAACGTCGACTAAATATTTCCATTCACCAGTAACTACAGCTGGCCAGCTCTGTACCTAGTCTCCCATATTACACTATATAGTATATATATAAATATACCACATTGCATTCAAGTAAAAAAAGTCAAAAAGATAGAAAGAAGGATGTCCCACCCGTATCTGTGCCCCAGCGCAAAATCTCCGCAACAGTGGCTCTTCAGCAGGCAGTAAATTCAATATCCGGCTTTGCAAAGACAACACTACGAATAGCATTATACTTTGTCATTGTCTTACCTCCTCGCTCATGGGGCTGTAAAAGGTAGATGGATGCTATGCAGGCTTCCGATCCGTATTTTTACTACGAATGAGGAGGTTTGATGGGCCGTTTTTTGCCCCCTTGGGGGGGATGTGGGGGGATAGGGAGGGGTATATATATGTATGTATACGATGGGGAGTGGGCACAGTTTTGTTTCTTGGGTTGGTGTATACCCAGGACGGGGGAAAGGAGAAAGAGAAAGAGATGGGCTGGTGGATTACAGGGTCATGAAGTCGTGAGAAGACCGTAAGGAAATTGCATGGGCAGATAGATAGATAGATAGCGAGGGGGAAATAATAAGACGATGAAGAGTAAGGACGTGTGATATGATTTTTTGTATTCATTTCATTTATCACTTGAGATCGAATTGAAGGAATTTTCTCCGAGGTAGATAAACCCATCACACACACGGCACACCATTCCCTAATACCAACAACTCGTTAGCATATATTCCCCAGATAAATCACATCCCAAGAAAAAGGAGTTTGATCATACCATCAATCAACCGACCACCGCCCCAAACACCACCCATCCATCATCGATAAGATCATTAAGGAAAAAAATCTTTACCGCTGGCGGCTGGCGGTCCAGACGTTGCGGATGTAGCCGTCACGCTGGGTCAGGCGGTTCAGGGAGTCGTCGCTCTCGCCGCGGGCACGGATGAAGCCGCACATGGCGTAGTTCTGGTTCTCGCCGGTGTAGCGACCGTTCTCGTCGACCTTGCCGATGGCGATCTGGACGGAGGCGTGATCGTTGGCCTTGATGATGCGGTTGGTGGCGCTGCACTTGCGGGGCACGTAGCTTTATAAAGTTAGTATTTTCTCTTTTGTCTGATTTATTAGGTCCTGGATATATATATTTCTGTGTGTGTGGTGGTGGGTGGTTGGATGGCGTGTGGTGTATGAACTTCTGCCTCCTCTGTCCATCTGGGGTTGCGATCGGAAAGTATTTTTTCCCCTGGAAAAAAAAACCTGCAGACGTTGAAAATTCCACAGCCACCCATACCGACTCCTTTATCCATGTCGCGATCGAGATATATCCCCCCGGAGGCGCAGAGTCCCAATCAACCCATCCATCCACCCACACACATCCACACACAAACACACACATATATCCAGAAAAGCCGTAAAAGAAAAGGTGCAAAAAAAAAAGGTAAACATACAGATCGACGATCTCTCCCTTTTCGTTCTCCATTTTGGCGGGTTTGTAGACGTGAGGTCGACGACGGTGAGGAAGGAAAGGTGCGCTGGCGGAGATGGACTGTCTGGACTGGGCGCGGAAGTGTCGTTGAAAATGCTGGCCGTCTGAGTTTCGGGTTGTGTGGGTCATGTGATCTCTTGTCGAGGGCTTTGCCTGTTTTGGGTAGGCGGTGGGTTGGTCTTTGCCCTGCGGAGGCGGATGGTGGGAGGAGGGGAAGAAAAGGTAAGGCTTGTGGATCATTGTAAGGAGAGTTTCTTTATCAAATCAAGGTGCTGTAGTGTAGTGGTCATCATGAATCGTTGTGGTTAAAACAACAATTCCGATTCGACCTGGGTTCGATTCCCAGCAGCGCCAGATGGCGACTGACTTGATTTGTCTCTTTTTTGTTTCTTTTTCTTCCTACTCTTGTTAAAGAGTGTATGGAAATAAGTAACAAAAATACTTTTTTATTTATTTCTTTTTGTTGTTTTAGTCCGTGGTACATCCAACCTTATTCGAGGACAGTCTATAATTCCGACCACTCCATCCAGTCCAGTCTATCCATCCTATGCAAGACAATATGTACACCAGCCAGACCAAGTCCACTGCAATAATATGACTCTATAGATTGCTCTTCTCACCCCCATCCTCCCTAAAAACATCCTTCTTCCACTGTAACTCCAACTCCCGCGCACTACCCTGCTTAAACTTAACCTTCACAACCCTATCAGCCTCGCCCCTCCGACCCGTCCCCTTCAACTCCGGCCCGGGGTGATCAAGCGCCAACACGGCGCGCCCATCCTCAGCCACCTTGAGCATCTTCGGCGAAATACACTTATCCGTCCACGGCGGCTGACCAGAGTGCACAAACTCCACCAGCCCCTCGCGCCGCTTCTTCAACTCCTCAACAGCAACACCCGGACCCCGGGGACTCTTGTCCAGAAACTCTGCCACCAGATGCAGCAGGAGGAACTGCGGCGGGAACAGGATGATCTCGCCCGCGCGCGCCATCCGCAGCCATTCTGACGCGGGCAGGAACCGCGCTTCGGTGACCTCCACGCCTCCGTCGCTCGTCGGAACCTGGATCTCCTCTTTTTCGCCCTCGGCGGGGATCTCGTTCAGAAGCGGCTTCTCGGACTCGAGAGGTAGCGGTAGGAAGTACAGGTACATCTGGGTGGTGTAGCGCTTGGGGACATTGGTTGGTGTGATCCAGCGCGTGAAAGGAATCAACTTATCTATAATTATGATGATTAGCAAGTGAACGGCGAGGAGTGGGCAGAGTAAGGTGGGTCGTATCTGACCTGTATCCGGCACCGCATTGGCATCCCTCTCCCTCAACCACTCATCAAACTTCATCCCCTGCTGGTGAATCGCCCGTCGTCCCCTCTCCCGCTCTTCTTCCGGAACAGCCAGCATCTTGCCTGTGTTCTTGTCCTTAGCGAGGAGGATCCCGCTCTCTTCGAAGAGCTCGCGCACCGCGGCATTCCTGTACCAGGGTGCGTCTTCGTGGTGCTTTGGGTCCTCCGCCGGTGGACATGTCCCGTCTTGGAGGGAGAGGTTGCCGCCTGGGAAGACGTGAGCTGAGGCGAATGAGGTGGATGTTTTGACGCGGTGGAGGAGGAGGACTTCGTTTTGGGGGGATATGAGGATTACGCTGGATACATTAGTTGTTGTTTTTTGATGTGGATGAAGTTCATTCGAGTAGATAGCATAGACATAGAGCAAATGAGATAAGATAAAGCATGCATGTGTATAGAGCAAAATTGGAGTAAGACAAAACTCACCTCGAACTCGGCCGCGGCACAGCCAGCTTCGGCTTCGGCTTCGGCCCACCGCCACCATGCGATGACATCTTCTGCGACATAGACGCTTCCTGCGCAGGAAAAACAGACGAGAATCTCCTAGCAGTAACAAGCCCACCGTGACACCGACACGCAACTCGCTGCTGTGGTGTAGAAGTCCTATACTCCCCAGACCCTACAAGCCAAGCACCGCAGGAAAGAAGCCGAGGAGGAACGGACAAGGATCGCGATATCAACCGGGATGACGAGGTCAGGGGTGCATGGGAAAAGGCGATCATGTCCACTAGAGTAGAGTCGCTGCGGCCAATGCACTGTGGTGGCTTTTAGCTACTTATAAATGTTCACTAGTTACTTTGAAGATAGAAGGGAATGATTAACCTTGGTTAATTGATCCCGGCACGCGGGGTTAACCTAGGTTCTGCTGGGGTTGGCCAAGCCCATGTGGTAGTCTCCACGGGCAACGCTTAGTTGCGGACTTCCCGTGCTCAACTACTAGGTACAATCCGTAGCTATGGTCGATGCCTCTTTTTTCCAGATTTTTGCAAAGTTCTTCTTCCCTGTCCTTGATTTAAGTTTACATATTATGTACTAGAGATCATAAACGTAACCATTCCTGTAGCATGTAATCGATGGATTTATTCACAGCGCCATCATGCTAGGTAGGTACTCTAAAAAACCAAGTGCCTCCAATACCATCAAAACAAAACCGATTCTCAGCGCAATCCACGCAGCATAACTCCTGACCCTCATACCCATACTTTTTATTTTCATGTCGTCCATGTATCATGGCGTGAACAAATCTTTATTAATCATCCATTAAGAACTGGCCCTCACTTAGGAGTACAGCTTCTTGTCGTAGCTGTGCAGACCGTGGACGTTACCCTCGGTCATGGCACTGGCGCTTCGCACTTCGAAGCGCACAACGCCGCCGTCGACGCCCTTGTGGAGCGCGTCGAGGCTCTCCACACCGATATCCTGCAGAGAGTGCTGGACACCGGCGACCAGGTAAGGGATGAACTTGGTGACGGAGCCGCGGTCCAGGACCGAGCCGGCAACACCCTGGGCGACCAGGACGCGATCCTTCTCGGAGAAGTAACGGGCAGTGCCGGCGTTGCTCGCCTTGGAGTCCTTGGAACCGGCGCCGGCCTTCTTGTCCTCCATGGCGGCGATGGAACCCATGCCACGGTAGGCCTTGACCAGCTGGCCCTCGTTGCTGACGAAGTACTCTCCCGGAGACTCGGTGGTACCGGCCAGGAGACCGCCCATCATGACGGTGGAAGCACCCATGGCAAGACCCTTGACAATGTGACCAACGTTCTGGACACCGCCGTCAGCAATGCAGGGGACGCCGAAGCGCGCGGCGAACGAAGTGACGCTGCGCACAGCCACGGCCTGGGGACGACCGACAGCCATGACCTCCTGGGTGATGCAGGCGCTGCCGCTGCCCATGCCAATTCTCAGGCCATCGACACCGGCAGCGATCAAGGAAGCGGCTTGCTCACGAGTCACGACGTTACCGCCAATGACATCGATCTCGGGGAAAGCCTGCTTAACCCACTTGATCATCTCCATCTGGTACAAGCTGTTGCCCTGGCTGCTGTCCAGCACAACAATGTCAAGACCGGCCTCAACAAGCAGCTTGAGACGGTTCTTGTCCTCCTCGCGCGTGCCAATGGCGGCCGCACAGATCAGCTGCTTGGACTGGGGAAGCTTAGAGGCCAGAGGATAGTGGAGGTTCTTCATCAGATCACTCCGGGACAGCAGGGAGACAATGTTTCCATTGTCATCCACGATGGGCAGCTTTCCCTTCTTGGAGCTACGCAGGACGTCATTCGCCTCCGCCAGGGTGGTGCCAGCAGGGGCGGTGATGAGGTCGGTCGACATGACGTTGGTGACCGGGTCAGAAGAGTTGTTGTGGAACTGGATATCACGGGAAGTGACCATTCCGATGATCTTGGAGCGGAGGGTGCCGTTTTCTAATAACAATGGAAGTTAGAACCATAGGCTTTTGACATGTGTTGGTATGACAAGTAAGATGGGAACAATAAGGATCAGTTTGTAATCCGGTTCTCTACAACGCAACTCTCGTTGCTCCAGTGGAACGAAAGTTATAAATAGAAGAATGATAATCATCACAGAAGGTTGTTTTGCGCAGGTGAAAAGACGAGGAACGAGGGAGATGAGCTTACCAGTCACGGGGAAACCACCGAAGCCCCACTTGGCCTTCAACTCCTTGGCCTCACCAACGGTGGCCGTCGGGGCGAGAACCACGGGGTCCAGGATGAAGCCGTTTTCATACCGCTTCACCTTGCGGACCATCTCCGCCTGCTCATCCGGGGAGCAGTTGTGGTGGATAACACCCAGACCACCGAGCAGAGCCATGTGGATGGCCATGTTGTGCTCAGTGACGGTGTCCATGGGGGAAGACACGAGGGGAGTCTTCAGGGTCACACGCTTGGTGACGGGGGTATCCAGAACGACGTCCGAAGCGGGGAAGCCTGTCACAAGATATGAATATTCGGCATTCCAGAGCTCCAAAAAATTTCTTCAGCCCTTACCGATATAACCGGGGAGGATCAGGAAGTCATTGTAGGTCAAGGCTCCATGCTTATCGGAGTCGAGAAGCGTATCAACGTCCAGGCCATCTCTGGAGGAATAATCCTTCTCCAGGACATCAAGGGCCTTGGAGTAGTCCTGAATCTCGGCCGGCATGGCCATGCCCAACGAGTCACCTTTGGAGATCGGCATGACTAAATCGTAGAAAAAAAGGCTCTACAGTTCTATCGTAAACTCGTAGAGATTGATAATAGGATAGATGAGACAAGAGAATCAACAGATCGACGATAGAAACGTTCTGTTGATGGAGAAAGCCTTGCTTTCCCAAAGAAAGGAAAGAAGGAAAAAAGAAGAAAAAATCAGAGGAGAAAAAAATTGGCTTTTGTACCTTCGACGCACAAGCTAGTAATCCATGCAGAAACCTTTCCGTTCTTGGTTAGGCGGCTGGAACTGCCAGGATTTCGACCCGCTCATTGGCTGTTTAACGAAAAATCTGAAGGCGGTGAGGATGGAGGGGTCACGTTAAGCTCGGCCGGATTAACGTTGAAACCATTATGCAGCATGGATAAATTAGATGACTCAACCATGCAGGATTCAGGGTGCTGGATAGTCATGAAAAGAATTAAATGCGTGGTTTTATCTCATTGTTCGTCGCATCTGATTTGATACTATCCTGAAGCTTAGTATCATGATCCTTGAAATTTTGATTGGACTATAACCGCTAGTAGTACTACTAGAAACGCTCATAACAGCTAGGGTAGGTACAACACGTGGTGGTCCTATCATTCAAACTGGCAATGATTTCTATGGGTGTCAAGTTGCAAGCTCATGGAAAATTAAAAATATAGTGTCCGAGCGATTGCAATAGGAATACACAGAAATACTGGCCATAGGATACTACTCTATTTCTGTCTATGGGCTCAGAACCCACCATGCTAATATTAGCAGAGTTGAGAAATGGACCCTAGAACAGCCTCGCCAAACTAGTCATACCCCCTGATAACTACAACGAGAAAAACGAAGAACTCTTGGCAGAACGATAAGATATCCTGTCTTGCATCAGTCCAACATGTAACCAGAAGCTTGTGCGGACGGTACTGGTTTCTCTGCGCATCCGGTGGGTCATTGCGACATTATGACGCCAGAGGACTACTTGATCTGTATGATATAGCCAGTTTACTGTGTAGCTTTCGCCCGCCACTTTTTTCAACTTAAAATACACGAATCTTGCTGGATTTCCCCGGAATTAAATTCAATTTGTGGAAATCAAGATCCAGCTTATACCAAGGAATTATACAAGATGTCGACTTCTTCAGACAAAGGCGGTGGTTTTGGAGTGCCAGAGACCCCGCAGGCCCAAGCAAAGCCAGGGTAGGTGTCCAGTTGCGCTGCAGCAAATATTCCGAGCAATAGCTAATATGCGAGCTTTGAACAGGTTGGAATCCCAGATGCAGCCGGCCAGTGAAGCTACCAAAGTGGAGACACCAGACGGTTTGGTTGAATACGCGGGCAGTGGGAAGTTAAAGGATAAGAAGGTTCTCATCACTGGTGGAGAGTAGGTTCCCTGACATATATGAGACATATCGAATATGTTGGGATTTTAACGGCCCGGCAGCTCCGGAATCGGTCGCTCGGTTGCCATCCTCATGGCAAGAGAGGGGGCCGACATCACGATTGCCTATCTGCCCGAAGAGCAAATCGATGCCGAGGAGACGAAGAAAGCGGTCGAGGCAGAGAAGCGATCATGTCTTCTCGTTCCCGGGGATTTGTCCAAGCGCGATACATGTCGCGCAACGGTTGAGAAACACATTGAGAAGTAAGCCGGATTCCACCGACCAACCGTTGGTAGACCTCATGAGCTCACAATCGCACAGGTACAAGAAGCTTAATGTGCTTATCAACAATGCATCCAAGCAGTATATCTGCAAGGACTTCGCCGAGGTCGACCTCGACAAAGTGCAAGAGACGTTCCAGTGTAATGTCCTCCAGATGATGGCGGTTACCAAGTTTGCCCTTCCGCACATGTCCAGCGGTGACTCGTAAGTAGACGAAGCATCATGACTGGAGGATCCACACTGATATAGTTCTTCTAGCATTATCAACTCTTCGTCGGTGACGGCCTTCCGAGGATCCAGTGGCATGGTGGATTACTCCTCCACCAAGGGCGCTATCGTTAGTTTCACCCGGGCTCTGGCGGCCCAGCTGGCGCCCAAGGGGATCCGCGTGAATTGTGTGGCGTAAGTATCCAGGCCCTGGCCTTAACAAATGCCGAGGTGAGCTGACATTTTTGGCAGACCGGGTGTTATCTACACACCTATTCAAGCCGACACACGAGAGCCCGATCAGATGGCTGGTTTGGGCAAAGGCTCCCGGATTGGTCGGCCTGGTCAACCGGTGGAGGTTGCAACCAGCTATGTATTTCTGGCGAGCCCTGAATCCTCCCTGTATTGTACGTTCACACCCCTTCGACCCCAGTCATTTTGTGTGGATGGATACTTACTCTCAATAGATGGTCAAGTGATGCACTGCTACCCGATGGGTGATTAATGGAAAGTACCTGGTATGTCGGTGTGGGATGTGTGGGAATCAGTCTTATTTCATGATTTCATGCGTGGAAGAGCAAATGTTGATGGGTCGCCATGGCAAATGACGACAAACAAGGACAGACTTGTGGTGGCATAATGTAACAATAGGAAATATGCATAATAAATTCACAAATGAGTTATTACTACTCAAAACAGAAGCCACGGTTTGGATTGCTGCAGTGCTCTATCCCAGCCGTTTTCATTGTTCCAGATGGCGATGCTTTCGACTTCGTCCTTACCGAGTTTCAGCCCGTTATATAGATGCTAGCGACCACATCAGTATAGACAGATAGACGAAGGAAAACAGACGGACATACCGGGAATAACCCTTCTTTCGGTCGCGGCCCGCAAACATTACCCTCTGGGGACTCCCAGACGGTTTCTCCAGCGATGTGCGCGTAGGGAATTCGCAGAACATAGACCAGTGGTTCGTCATTGAAAAAGGCCTTCAATGTGTTTGGGACTTGAAAAGCCGTAGACAGGTGGATGAACCCTGACGACTTGTCGATGTCGCTGACCGGGAGTCGATCGGGGAGAGGTTCCCGCACCGGCAAAGAGGAGGGGACGAGTTTGTAGACATATAGAGGCTCTGCATCCGTCATCGTCTTGTTCTGCTGTTGAGGAGTAGATTATGCGTGGGATAATATACTACTCCCGTGTATGGGGAGACAAAGAGACAAAGACCAAAGAAATAGACTTATCTCAGGTGACAAGAGAGGGTGCAGAGCCAGCATGTCGGGTCGTCGTTCCAGGTTATCATTGGTGGGGGGCGATCTTCATGGCGACTGCCGAGTCCCGTGACTCGATCTTCGGATATGACGGATAGTGGCCAGGTACACATGTCCCAGTCTCAGTATCTCTAGCAGAGAAGCCAGCTTACTATGTTTAGAGTTGATGATAAGACTCAGGTCATTCAATATCATTCCAATTCAACATGACCCTAGATGGCTGGGTAGAATAAGGTTATGTTCAAGACATGTCCCTGATACATATATGCAAGGTGTGCATCACCCTGCGTTTTCGAAGGTCGATATACAGAATACTCCGACCGTGGTCTAACCAAGACTACGCTATAATCAGATTCAGAATATCACCAGTCATATCTCTTATTCCCACAGTAGCCACTAAGCTTTAACTAGTGAATGATCGAATAATGACAGATCAAGAAGCACGGTTGGGACCTGCGTGCCTGGGGCAATCGGTGGCTTCAGCAGGTGGCCGATCGACGTCACGAGATCCTCCGATCGATGGCGCGGTCACCTGATAGTGTGACTAAACCCGATTGGGAGATTTGTTTTCCTCCCCGTCGATTTACTTCCTGGTTTCCAGCTCGACCCGATCTCGTCCCTCCCCGCTTCTTCTTCTGCCTCGTTTTCCTTTTATTTACCTTTCATCATACGTCGCATACTGGTCCACTCCAGAGCTGTGGGTGGATTCGATTCTTGATTTTCTTTTGTTGAATTTGACGATTTTCTTTTCCTCTCTCGTTTTGTATACTTGTCTCTCTCTTCAATTCGTTCTCCTCCCACGATTTCGGCCTGATCGTTGTTTGGGTCCGATTGACCGAACCCACTTAGTTCCGTTTCTATATCAACCCGAGATCCCCTCCGTTCCCACCGGGCCATGCTGCCTCTATCCCTTGAATAAGCATTCCATTCCAGCGAAAATCTGGCCCCAGGCTCGTCCACAACATTTGGCCAAAATACTGCCTCGGTCGCTGAACGGGGTATGTGGCCCAGTGAGTGCAAGACTCTCCCATTTCCGTCGCTTATAGCATTCCTCTCCCCCGAACAGTACTAGTGATGTCAAGCCACCCAGCGTCTCTCGCACATGCACAGACGGACCTCCCCTTCCAAACATCGAGTCCACTGCGCCATGGATCGAATGCCTCTACGAGTTCATCCATCTACTCACTCTCGTCGAATTCCTTTGCTCCTAGTCGCACGAGCACCGTCTCCTCTAGTGCGTCCATTGGTTCGACCTACAGCATTGGGCACCGACGTGGGAAGAGCGAAGTAAACAGAACAATCCCCGAAACCATGCCGGCGAATAATTCCTCGTCGCGTCAGCCGCACGCCGGCTCAACATACGAAAATATTCGACGCTCGTTGCGACCGCTTTCTCAGATTTCGCAGACCCCCAATGCATCGCCGCCGACCCCGAAACACGCCGTTTACCGTCATACCAGGAGCCAGACCGTCGATGACCCCCGATACTGGCAAGAGAACCGTCCTCGGACACCCGAGTCTCGACCAAAGTCAAACGCAGGGATGGAGTCATTCGGAGATGGGGCATCATATGTCGCGCAGAAGTCGCCAAAGACCGCCTCCCCTCACCAGTGGTCGCCGCGAACCGGATCACCGCAGACCGGCTCGCCGGTGAAAGCAAACCATTCCCACAGTTTGTCGAACCCGCCCACCCTCACAGCAGCCCTCTCGGCGCCAGAGTTGGAGACGTTTCAAAAATCGTCGACCGGACATCTCCGTACCTTGTCCAAGATTGCGCAGTCTGGAGATACGGAAGGGTTTCCCAGCCACTCTCCGTCCGTGGTCGGCCTCCAGGGTCGACGGCGCTTGAAGCGAGCCGATTCAGTGGCCGCGAACAGTGGCGCCGTCCAGAAGAAGAGCGCATCGTCATGGGTGGCCGGAAACTGGATGGACAAACAGCGCCAGTTTCTTCAGGCCTATGAGTATCTGTGCCATATTGGAGAAGCGAAGGAGTGGATTGAGGAGGTCATCCAGAAGCAGATCCCGCCCATTGTCCAACTGGATGAGGCACTCCGCGATGGTGTAACATTGGCAGAGGTAGTGCAAGCGATGTACCCCAATCGCAAGTTCCGAATATTCCGCCATCCAAAACTGCAGTACCGCCATTCGGACAATATCGCTTTGCTCTTTCGGTTCTTGGACGAAATCGAGCTGCCCGAACTTTTCCGGTTCGAATTAATCGACTTATACGAAAAGAAGAACATCCCCAAAGTTATCCACTGCATCCACGCGACGTCATGGCTGCTGTTCAAGAAGGGTCTCCTCGACTTCCGAATGGGTAATCTCGTTGGCCAACTAGAGTTTGAGCACCATGAACTGGAGCAGATGCAAAAGGGCCTGGACAAAGCCGGAGTCAGCATGCCCAGTTTCTCGGGTATGGCCGCAAACTTTGGCGCGGAGCCCGAGCCCGAGCCCGAACCGGTAGAGTCCGAGGAGGATCGAATCGACCGAGAATTACACGAAAACGAGGCCTCAATCGTGGATTTCCAGTGCCAGATCAAAGGGGCAATGCTCCGACTGAAGCTGGGTAATACGATGAATGACCTGTGGGACTTCGAGCCTCGTTTGATTGACCTGCAGTCGCACTTACGAGGACACTGGGCCCGTCAGGTCTTCCAGTATCGTTTGGGTATGCGCACGTTTGCGATCAACCTGCAAGCGCATTGCCGGGGCTTCATCGCACGCTCCCACCGAAAGGGTGACATCGAGGGTTACCAGGCCCGGGAGGACGATGTTCTGCAGCTGCAGTCTCTTATTAGAGGTTCCAAGGCCAGGGCCCAGGTCAATCGCCTCCACCATCGGGTGCGTAAAGAGGAATCCGGAATTAAGAAGATTCAGGCCGCCGTGAGGGGCGCTCTACAACGTAAGGCTGTGGGTGACCTCTACGACGACACAAGAGACACCGAGGACCAAGTTCAGCTACTGCAAGCAGCCATCAGAGGTGCTTTGAGTCGCCAAGGGCTCGCCCAGCAGCGCAAAAGAACACAATCTGCCGAAGGCGATGTCGAACGACTCCAAGCTCTTATCCGGGGTGCCTTCGTGAGACGGCAAATGAGTGTGCAACATGACGAGTTTGCTGAAGCCCGCGACGATGCCGGTCTGCTGCAGGCGGCGATTCGAGGGATGATTGCTCGTGAATCGGTCGCCCACACGAGGAAATTGCTCGCTCAGGAGTTGCCGTCAATCATCTCCCTACAGGCAAGTGCGAGAGCTTTGGCAACACGAACCCGCCACATGGAGCTGGTCGAAGCATTGCAAAAGACGAACGCTCAATGTATCGATCTACAAGCGATGGTGCGCGGTCGCGCCACTCGAGAGAATTTGAAGGACCTTCGCCAGGCGTTGTCACACCACACACCATCTGTCATCACTCTCCAGAGCATATGTCGCGCTCAAGCGGTCCGGTCCGCCTTGGACTCCCAACGGGCATCGCTGGATGAAGAAGAACAAAATATCCTGGAGCTGCAGTCCATGGCCCGCGGTGTGATGGTGAGGAACCGGGTGAGAGCAGATGCGGAAGCGCTGCAACAGCATGAGTACATGATCACCGAACTTCAGGCCCTTGCACGAGCCGCCGTTCTGAGGATCCATGTCGGTGGTATCCTTGAACAGCTTGACGACTGCCATGATGAAATCAGCCAATTGCAGGCCCAAATCCGAGGAATGGCTGTCAGAGTAGAAGTTGGCCAGGACTTGGCTGACCTTGCCGCCGAAGAAGACTTCATTACCGACTTCCAAGCGCACATTCGAGGATATGTTGTCCGCGGGAAGTTCGAAGAGAAACGTCGCTATTATCAGGAAAACATGGAGAAGGTGGTCAAAGCCCAGAGCTTTGTGAGGGGAAGAATCCAGGGCCAGGCGTACAAGAGCCTTACGAGTGGCAAGAACCCGCCGGTGGGTACTGTCAAGGGCTTCGTACATCTTCTCAATGATAGTGAGTTCGACTTCGACGAGGAAGTCGAGTTTGAGCGAGTCAGGAAGATGGTCGTCCAGCAGGTGCGGCAAAATGAGATGGCTGAGCAGTATATCGGCCAGCTTGATATCAAGATTGCCTTGCTGGTCAAGAACAAGATTACGCTGGACGAAGTGGTCAAGCACCAGAAACATTTCGGTGGCCATGTTGGAAACCTGCTTCCCAACAGAGAAATCTCGTCCACGGATCCCTTCGACCTGAAGGCCCTGAACAAAACCTCGCGAAGAAAGCTGGAACACTACCAAGCATTCTTCTTTCTTCTCCAGACGCAAGCGCAATACCTTGCGAAGTTGTTCCGGAGGCTGCGTGAGCTCAACACGCCCGAGAAGGAGTACGATCGAATCCGGCACCTTATGATGGGGCTGTTTGGCTACTCGCAGAAGAGGCGTGAGGAGTACTATCTCATTAAATTGCTGGCCCGCTCTTCACGAGAGGAGATTGAAAGCTTCGATTCCCTCCACGAGTACCTGCGCTGCAACTCCTTCTGGACTAAACTTTTCGCATCGTACATGAAATCGCCCCGCGATCGAAAGTTCCTGCGTGACGTGATTGGTCCCGTGGTGAGGGAGAACATCATCGACAACCCGGAATTGGACTTGGAGAGTGACCCAATGCAAATCTACCGGTCAGCCATCAACAACGAGGAGCTCCGAACAGGGAGACGAAGCCGACGCCAGCCGGATATCCCTCGAGAAGAAGCCATCAGGGATCCCGAAACGCGAGCGACGTTCATTCAACACCTGCAAGACCTTCGGGATACGGCGGACCAATTCTTGACTGCGCTGGAGGAACTCCTGCACCGCATGCCGTTTGGTATTCGGTACATCGCGAAGGGAATGTACGAGGGCCTTCTTAGTCGATTTTCTGGGGAGGACCCCGGCTTTATTCTCCAGACGACAGGCTTCTGGGTGTGGAAGAACTACTTCCTGCCTGCGCTGATGGAGCCTGAACGATATGGGGTGGTCGACCGAAGCTTGACCCAGGAACAGAAGCGAAATCTGTCCGAGATTGCCAAGGTCGTCGCCCAGGTGTCTTCCGGGCGGCTTTTCGGGGCCGAGAATGTTTATCTGCAGCCACTCAACAATTTCATTGGAGAGGCGATTCAGCGCCTTGGACAGATTTGGGGCGACAGTGAGTAGAGCTTTACACCGCGTATTGAAATCATGACAAGCTAACTGGGTTGCAGTGGTCACCGTGCAAGACGCTGAGACTTACTTCGACATCGACGAGTTCAACGACTTATACGCCAAGAAGAAACCGACTCTCTATATTAAGATGTCTGATATCTTCTCAATCCATCAGCTTATTGCATCTGAAATCCACTACATTTGCCCTAACCCGGATGACATTCTGAAAGAGATTGTTCGCGACCTTGGAAATGTCAAATCGAACGAGAACGAGCTGATGAGCGTCAATTCATCCGAGATCAATCTCACACTAAATCCCAAACTTACTCAGGTTGAAGGTAACATCAGTCCTTCCCAATTTGAGAAGAACACGGCTAACACACTACGTAGACCCAGAAGCCGACATCAAGGCTCTGTTTATGGAGACCAAGCGATGCATTCTGTATATCATCCGTGTTCAAAGTGGGGCCAACCTGATGGAGATTATGGTCAAGCCGCCTACGGAGGAAGACCATGCCAAGTGGATGACGTTGGTACGGGACGAGCTGAGTGCGAACAACACACGCCAGAGTCCATACGCCGAGGCCAATTCGCTGGTGGACATTGCTTCTATGAGTTATTCGGAGCTGAAGCGGACCGCGCTTGAAAACATCATTCACCTCGAACAGTGCAGCAAGATCCGACGAGACAACCACTACCAGGATCTGCTGAACGCCATCGCCATCGACATTCGAACGAAGCACCGTCGCAGAATCCAGCGCGAGCGAGAATTAGAAGGCGCTAGCCTGACCCTCGGACGCTTGAACGACCAAGCAGGCTATTTAGAGCAGCAGCTCAAGACGTACAACGACTACATCGAGCAAGCGATGATCACCCTACAGAACAAGAAGGGCAAGAAAAGGTTCCTCATGCCGTTCACCAAGCAGTGGGACCACCAGCGCGAACTTCAGAAATCCGGCAAGGTGTTCAAATTCGGCTCCTACAAGTACTCGGCACGCAACCTCGCCGACAAGGGCGTTCTCGTGCACTGGAAGGGCTACACGGAACGCCAGTGGGACCGCGTCGACCTGACCATTTCGAGTAACGAAGTGGGTGTTTTTACCATCGATGGAAGCAGTGGTCCGATGATGATTCCGGGAGCCAGCGCGCAGGTACCGCTGGATGACCTTTTGCAGGCCCAGTTCAACAACACGCAGTTCCTGGACTTTTTTGACGGACAGCTCCGAGTCAACGTGAACCTCTTCTTGCATCTGATCATGAGGAAGTTCTACAACGAATGATGGTCCCATCTTACATCTCTAGTCTTACATACCCCTTCGCGTCTTCCTCTCTACCTCCGTCTTCCTTCTGTGTTCCTTTCACATCCCATCGCTATTTTCTGCATTCTACCCATTGAACGTTATCCTGTCACTTATCCTATGATATCCCCTCCGTCGGTGGCCTATCGAGTATAAAGAGAGTGCCCGAGCCATCTCCGGAATTCCCACCACTTGTTCTATGTTCGTGTTGACCTGATTCCCCCATTGATTCGGTTTCTCTCCTGCGTTCCTTTCTTTCCTGGCACGATGAGTACCCTGCCACCCGCATCGGTACTCGATGATTTCGACGATTCTATGTATGTATGTTTCTATGAAATAGTGGATATTCCCGACGAATGGTCATATCGGTGATGAATGTTGGTATCTCTGTAGATCTTGTCCTGTAGTATGTAGTAGAGCGTAGAGCGTAGAGCGTAGAGCGTAGAGTGTAGAGTGTAGAGTTCAGGGGCTGCCACGTGATCCGACCTCGTTGAGGCCCAATTGCGACCGAACTGGGGCTAGCCCAAACGGAACGGCAGTGGAGAACAATAACACTACTAATCCATGCGATGCCACCTTGATCATCCGCCCGTCACATCTTCTTCCTCTCTCCCTTCCAGACTCCCTCCCATACCCCGTCTCGTCTCGTCCCTCCCCCTCCAATCGATATATCTCTCTTCGGAGCTGTCGCCTGGATATTAGTTTCTTCATTGACCCCCGCGTCAAACCCGATTGCGCCATGGATTTGTCCAACCTCAAGGAGCAGGTCAGCAACATGACCATGTATGACCTGAAAGCGGGTGTCCGCAAAGTACAGAATGGTGAGTTTGGTCTTATACTTTGACCCCGGAGATTCGGTGATCTCGGGCTGGTTTCGGTCTCGACTATTTCATGGGGTTAATGGTGTCTGTTTAGCTGTTATGAATTATACCGAGATGGAATCCAAGGTTGGTTTGCCTTCCGGCCAGGACCGGTCATGAACTCGCCTCGAGACACCCCCCTTCTGTCCCTCCTCGCGCACGTCACTCACCTGTCTAGGTCCGCGAAGCTACGAACAATGAACCGTGGGGCGCCTCCTCGTCTTTAATGCAGGAGATCTCCAATGGAACTCATAGCTAGTCAGTCCCCCCGACCCTGAATCTCCCGACTCGATTTCCAGGCCCATACATATACCCTGCCCTTTTATTTCCTCGAAGGACCAACGCTTACGTGGTGTATCCGACAACAGCCAGCTGCTGAATGAGATCATGCCTATGATCTACAGACGGTTCACCGATAAGAGTGCGGAGGAGTGGCGACAGATTTACAAGGTATGACTGTGTGCGCCCGGTTCTCCTTTTGCGGATAGAATCATAAGGCTAGGGGCTTACGGGGGTACTTTCGCGATACAGGGCCTTCAACTGTTAGAATTCCTCGTCAAGAACGGCTCCGAGCGTGTCGTCGACGACGCCCGATCCCACATGTCCCTCCTCCGAATGCTTCGTCAGTTCCACTATATCGACCAGAACGGCAAGGATCAGGGTATCAACGTGCGCAATCGCTCGTCGGAGCTGGTCAAATTGCTGGGGGACGTTGAATTGATCCGGTCCGAGCGAAAGAAGGCCCGCGCCAACCGCAATAAATTCAGAGGCTTCGAGGGTGGATCGGGCATCGGATCGGGCATCGGCGGTGGCGGCGGCGGCGGCGGCGGCATGACGGGGTCTGGTGGCAGATACTCTGGGTTCGGAAGCGATAGCATTGGCTATGGCGGATACAGTGGCGGCGTGTTCGGTGACGGCGGCGGGTTTGGCGGCAGCTCCGGCGACTTCCAAGATACCGGACGGCGGGGCAACCGGTTCGACGAGTACGACGAGTACGACGAGGCCGACGCTACCCCCCCGCCGCGGCGTGGATCGAGCCCGCCCCGTGCCCGGCGCGAGGCCAAGCAAGCGCCGGCGCCGGCCCCCAAGGAGCCCGAAGCCGACCTGTTCGATTTCGGCGACGACGAAGTCACCACGACGGCGTCCACCGCGGCGGGCAAGCAGCCTGCGAGCGGCGGCAACGGCCTGGACATCCTCGACTCGAAACCGATGGACGACGACGACTTCGACGACTTCCAGTCCGCTACCCCGGCGCCGGCCCCCGCGCCAGCTTCATCCAACCAGTTCGGCATCCCCGCGTCGACCGTCAGCACAACCTCCAGCACGCAGTTCGCCGCTCCAAAACCCGTCTCGGGCACGCAGGAGTCGAACCTCAACGGCCTGGTCGGATTCCAGTCCATGACGCCCACGCCCCCGTCCAGCTCCATCGCTTCCCCAGCCCTGTCGCAAACCTCGGCGATCCCCCAGCAGAAGTCCCAGCCGCTCAAGCCGGCCGGCTTCCAAGCAGCCACCCCCAACTACTTCACCTCCATCTCCACCAACAGCCCCCAAGCCGCCGCTGGTGGTGTCTCGGGCCACCGACCCAACATGCCCTCCACCTCGTCCTTCACCTCCGCGACCACCACTGCCTCCTCAGGGGCCGCGGCCAACAAGCCCGCCGCGGCCAACAAGCCCTCCGGCGGCGACGCCTTTGGCTCGCTCTGGTCCACCGCCAGCGCCAGCGCAGGCATCCAGAAGTCCTCGTCCGTCAACAAGGGCCCCAACCTCGCCAGCATGGCCAAGGAGAAGGCCAGCGCTGGCATCTGGGGCGCTGCTCCTTCCAACGCGGCGTCCCCGTCGCCTCGGGCTCAGACCGGTTCTTCTCAGCCGAAGACGACTGGTAGCTCGGGAATGGACGATCTGCTGGGTTAGTAGATATAGGTTGTGTCCGTTCTTCGTTCTTCCGTATTTTGTTTGCTGTTTGCTGTTTGCTGTTTGTGGGGTTTTGGGTTATATCTTCTTTCTTCCTTTCTTTCTTTCTTTCTTTCATCACCAATCTATTTACTTTTTCGTCCCTATGTCTCTACGGAGTGCATCTACACCTACTACTCCTATTACACCGTTGGTACCTTACTGTTTTAGTGCGATTCAGTTTACTAAAAAGATTCCATTACTGTCTACTTTTTCTACTTTAGGAAATACGGGTCTTCGCTACTTAGCAGCGGCCTATTCTTTTTCTTCTTAATTACTTTTATTATCCTTTTTTGTCATTTAGTATTTGTTTCCTTAATAAAATACCATGTTTTTTTCTCTTCACCTATTCTATTCCATGGGTCTTTCTTCTCTTCGATACCTGGTATCTCTCTCTCTCTCTCTCTCTCTCTCTCTCTCTCTCCCTTTCTCTCTCTCTCTTACTCCTACCTGCATAAGACTCATACTCATAGTTTCACGGATAGAGGAAGAGAGGCTTAGTATGATCTGTATCTGACATATGTATTGAATAGATCGTTGATAACTCCTATATTAGGTTTCTTTCATTACTTTGTGACATGGTGGAATGTCTGTCTGTCTGTCTGACCTTTGGATGTCTCCTTGAGTAGTTGCAGTTGAAGCTGTAGCTTTATTTATAGCAGTGGGGTAGGTAGATGGGTAGAAAATAGATACATAGACATCTAGATATCTGTCAAAACACAACAAGTTAAAATAAAAATAAATAAAAAAAGAATGAAAATAAGAGTCCAAATGGTATAATTTCTAATGCTAATGCATTGATGCGACGCCGACGCTGAAAATGGGGGGTACTCAAGAAAAGAACACACAACAAAAAACGACCATATGTACAGACGGACAAGACAAGACAGACAGACAGACAGACAGACACATTGAGAGGGAACAAGACTACCACCCCCCCCCTCCCCCAACCTCCTTTTCCACAGATGGGGGGAGGGGTGCGCTGTTATTAACTTCTCTTCTTCTTTCTCTTTTTTTTTTTTTTTTTTCTTTCCTTCATTTTCCATTCTCTTTGGTTCTTTTCTGATCACCTTCCAGAGTAGACCGAGCCCGTTTCAGGTCCCTTCCATTCCAACCCTCACAAATTCCAAGATATCCCATCCATCCACAATGTAGATTCTATCATACCAGTCAATGCAGAAGTAAAGAAAAGTAAAAGTAGAAGAAAAAGTAAAGAAATGACGTAAAACTCCTACCCATCCATCATAGCTGGCTGATCAGGGTGGAGAAGATCGGCCTCGTCATCCGTAAAAGGATGGGGCTTTGTTTCGTAGTAAAGTTCCAAAAAGAAGAGAAAAGAGTAAGGTAAGGAGGAAGTTCCAGCCTGGGAACTGAACAGGGAAAAGAACAGAATGTAGACAAAAAAAAGGGGGAAAGAAAGAAAATGAATAAGGCAAAATGGGGACATGAGGGGGAAGGGCAGGGGTTATGTGAACATCCGTCGGATTAATCCAATATCCTTTTGGATGAGTTGATGAGGTGAATGCAGTACTATGGGGACAGGGAAAGGATCATTGCTGAGATAGACCATTCGAAGATCATGCCTTCGTGGCTGATTGATCACCAGCGTCTGCATTCTTGCTAGGGTGCTCGGCAGAAGGGTCGCCCCCGTTCGTGTTTCCATTGCCGTTGGTGGTCTCTTTATCCGATGCCACAGGGAACTGATGGGTGCGACTGTTATCAGTCGGCGTGCTCTCCTGCTGAGAATCGGACTCCGGGCTCAGGGACGCGCTGTCCGCGCCCTCCATCTCCAGGTCACCGTTCAACGACGTCAACCCGCCTTCGATGTCGCGGAGAAGCCGGACGAATTCCTCCGGCACCAAGCCGCTTTCGCCGGTCTGGGGGTCCTCGGCCACGAGCCACCCCTGACCGTGCCGGTAGGACACGAAAATCACCTGACCTTCCACCAGTGGAAGCTCGTTCTCGTGCTCCCGCGTAAAGTCAAACAGGGCGACGGCCTTGCCGTGCATTTCCTCGTCCGGGCAGCCGACGGCGAATTGAAAGTCCCGCGAATACCGGTGGTCCGTGAAGTCCTCCCCGGACTCGCATCCGGCCTCCCGCTCGTACCCCGGGTAGCCCCCCGGGGCCCCCGACAGGGCATAGCTGTGTCCGTTGGACGGGTACGTGACGAACTCGCCCCCGGGCCCGTCATCCGCCAGGTCGTCGTCGTTGACATAGTATGTTTCAGTGCCGTCCGAGTTCATCCCGACGAACGTTCCACGGTCCGCTCTCACTGCGAAGCTCATCGAGGTCGGTCCGCGCCCGGCGGGGCTCCGGCCCCTCCTTCCATTGAGATCGGTTCCGGTGGATTTGTTCTTCCGATGACGGGGCGTGGAAAAGACCGGGCTGTGCAGATCTTCATCCTCGCTGTATGGCGGGCCGTCCCCGAAGGACATGGCGGGCAATTGCTGATGTCCATAACTGTGGTCTGTGCTCCACGGTCCCGTGGACCACTGGCCACGGGAGCTGTCCCACGGGGCCGGAGGGTCCGACAGACGCCGTTGTTCGCTGACGGGGGTGGACACGGCCGACGCCCGCAAGGGCAGGGGGCCGTAGTGGAGAGGGTGAATCGGCGGGTATGCGAAATCGCGAACCAGAGCGTACGACAAGCTGGAATGGAAGATGGGGAACACGTGCGACCCTGGGCGCGATCGGGTTTGGGACGTAATTGAGATGTTCGAGTGCGTGGACAGACGATCCTTAGACATGGAGGACGATCGATGGCGACTTTGCCGCTTCGCGTTCGCGTCCGTGTTTAACTGGGGGAGGACGGACAAGCTCGGCGAGGAGGCCGTCTGTTGTGGCGAAGTTGTGGATGTCATGGTGGCCATTCGTCGTGCCGCGAGGAGAAATCCAAACGCAGAAAAGATTGTCTGTCAAGGGTTTGAGCAAAACGCCCGGTCGAGGGGTTGTTTGTTGGTGAGGTGTCAAGGTCAGGAACGTGGACGCCCTAGTTTGGCATTGCGACCGCCCACCGACAAAAGAGCCCAGGAGAGAGGAGGCGCGCCGTCACCGAACAGCGATCTGCAAGACAATTCCAATTCCAATCTTCTGGGAACCGAGGGATGGAGAGGATGGGCTTGGTTGAGCTCCTTGCGTGCGACGCACGACTCGAGTATTGGGGGCCGTCCGTCGGAGGGGTTTGCGCCGAGAATAGGGCGCGATCTTCGTTCCGGGAGACTCGATAGCCTCAAGTGAAAGTGTCGAATCGACCTGCAATGATCGACAACCTCACACAGGTACAGGGTGATTGGAGACGGCGCAATGCAAGATCTGGGGCAAAACAGGGACCGCCCTTCCACACAATCGATGGATCACAAGAGAATTCTCCGAGTGCGAGTCGAGATCGGGATCGGCAATAGACAATCGGAATAAATAAGTTTTTTTAGAAAAAAAAAATAGATCAATCAAGAAGAGAAGAACAGTAAGAAAGGAAACATAGAAGAAGAGAGACAATGTCCAATGATGGCCGAGGGACGGGGGGTGGAGAGGAGGAGGGGGGGGGTCGTGGTGAAGAATCAATGAGGTCGCCCCGCGCGTCACGGATTCCAAGGGTTTTTGTTTCGAAGACCAGATGGGAGGGGGAGGAGACGGAGGAGGAGATGAGGAGAGGAGATGGGTTCTAAATTTAGCAGCTGGTGCAAAAGCGCCACTGTTGATTAGCAAAGGCGAGTTTCCGCATGGGCGGGGATTCGAATAAGGGAAAAGAAAAGGGTAAAAAAAGACCAACGGGAATGAAGGATAAAGGGGGGAAGAAGAGAAGAGAAGTGGAGGTAAGGACTGACAGGAAAGGACCAGGAACAACAATTCAATTCCGACCAGATGCAAATGCAAAGGGGAATGAATGGAGGTGGGTAACAGACCAACAGTCACAGATGGTTGGAGTCCGTTGTCGGCAAGTGGGTAGTCGAGATTAAGAAATAGGGTACGGGAGTAGGGTAGGGAGCCGAGACAGTGGATGCAGTAGAGTATCACACACGAGGTCAGAGGAGAGAGGAAGGAAGAATAAGGGAAAGAGAGAGAAGAGAAAGAGGTCTGACTCGTTCAACTCCAAGCACCAAAGCGTTAAGGATCAGCACGGCGCAGAGGGGAGTGTGGAGGTCTTGCAGTTGATTCATGACTACTTTATACTCGGAGGGAGAGGGAAATTGACTGTTGTCTGCCACAACGGTCTCTGGATTTCTCTTTTGTTCTTTCTCCCTTCCAATCGGCTGTTGTTTGACTCTTGATATGATTCTATCTTACTGACCTATTTGATTTGATCGATTTGATCAATTTGGTTTCCATTTTGCTTTCAATTCTGGCGCGAGTACGGTACCACGTGATGTCACGGCTGCGGACTAGCGTGTTTCAGGCCCTGGTGCCTTGCGCTTTCCCTTTTTGGGTGCTGGTGCCTGAATCGGTCGCCTACAATATATTAAATATATATATATAGATCGACTCAAGTCTGGAACATTCCCGAATCAAGATTCAATGCTTGTCTAAATACAGTACGCCAATTAGAAAGAAATAAACGAACTAAAGAGAGACAGACAGAAATGGATCCCGAAGAATGCAATAATCCCCGCAGACACCGTACATACTCCCCATCCATCTATGCGAGTAGTCAGCCTTCCCTTCCCCCATGCCGGTCCAGCCTGCATGCATGTCACGTTCCAGATTGGTAGACTCCCAACCACTCTATTGTCGAACATCCGAAAAACACAAATAAAACAAAAATAGAGTTGAAATGAAATGAAATGCAAGGAAATGTAGTAATGAGTTAAGAAATGTAAAAATGTAAAGAAATGTAAAGAGTGAACAAGAGAATGTCAGCCATCTACACCAAGCATACACTCGTGCAAGGGATCCTCAAGGAGCCACGCCTGGCGTACACCCAGTGGGAGACACCGTCCGGATCAAAGTCACGAACGAGGTCACGGTGGCTCCCGGCGGTGGGCGCGGGGACGACTTGGAAGGCGCCTGGGACGACGACTTGGATGGCATTGGCGGCGACGACTTGGATGGAATCAGCTGCGACGATTTGGATGGCATCGGCGGCGACGACTTGAATGGTATCGGCGGGAATGGCTTGCCTGGCATCGGCGGCGACCCTCCGGATGGCGGCGACGGCCGTTTGGATGGCGGCGGCGGCCGTTTGGAGAGGCTTGGGGAGGGTGAGCCCGAAATTCGAACGGCTAACTTAGAAGGTGTACCGGAAGGTCCAGAGGACCCCATGGTCTGTGCGAACTGGGCGGGGATCGCCGCGCTGTTGAGCGGCTGGTCCGAGTTGTATTTGGCCGGCTGCTTCGTCTGGGGATCACCCGCCACGTCCACGTCCATGCAGGTCGTATAGATCTCCTGCTTGCCGTCCGGCAGACCGGGGTCGGCCCCGGCGGCGGTGGGCCAGTCCCAGACCCAGTAGAGGGTGTAGGGCTTGCCCGAGGGGGCATTGGTAGGCAAGGCGAGATCATGTTGACACCACAAGTCGGCGCCCATGAGCTGGTCTGTGGGATGGGGGAACTGAGCCTGGCGGGAGGTGGAGATCGGACCGCCGTTGACCTGGTAGCAGCGGCCGTCGTCGAAGTCCTGCGTCGACAGCAGAACCCCCCGCTTGTCTCCTCCTGTCCCGTCGCGGTTCCACACCTTGTGGACGTCGGCGAGCTTCTCGCCCTCCTTGGGATTCGTCGTCCCGTAGACGTAGACCGTCCCGCGGTTCTTGGGCTTGCCCTTTTGGGTATCGGGGAGCGTCACATGGCCGTTCTCTTGGTAGCGCAGGGCGATGGGGGCTCCGGGGCTGGCCTGCAGCCGGGGGCTTTTGTCTGTCTGCGTCTGCGTTTGCTGGGTGTCTTTGCATAGTTGGTCGGTGGCGAGGTAGGTCATGCTCTTGTCGCTGTAGTCTGCGGATGTGCGGAGTGCATTCCCTCGGGGGTAGCCGGGTGGGCCGACGAAGGTGCCGTTGGGCGCGATGACGGTCAGTTGTTCGACCCAGGAGTGTGCACTGGTGCCCGTGAGCGTCAAGGACAGGAGCAGCAGTTGCAGTCCTTTCAGGTTGAAGCCGCGCATGGTTGGCAGATTTCCGTTTTAGGGCTCGGATTGTAGAATGGCACGTAGAAGTAGATAAACCGACCAGCGGAGTTGTATTGAATGAAACGAGTGTCTTGTTTTCTCTCTCTGTGTTAACTGGATTGACTGGATTGAAAGGAGTATAGACAAAAGCGAGGAAGAACACAAACCTATTTAAATATCCATGATGGTTACTGGTCGTTCGAATCTCATTGATCTTTCCTTTGTCTGCCTTGGGACGATTCGGTACGATCACAGCAAAAGAGAACAATAGGCCAGTCCAGGCGGACAAGGAAACAAGGACGGAAGCGAAAGAGTGACAGGATTGAACCGAACAATGAACAAGACTCTCCTACTCAGCAAGAGATCCAGTGCCAGTCTTAAACCAAACGCTGCGCACCGGGCCATCTCACATAATTATATCTCATCTCATGATCTAACCTGAGCGAGATGAAGGGATCACTGCGGTATCCGTGGGCGGGTGATTGACGCCCAACATGATAGGTGCTCAATGCAGCAACCGATCTCAATCAAAACCACATGGTTTCTGCGGCGGCAGAGTGTTTAAAAAAAGAGATCCTCAGTGACAGACAGCATCCCTGAATAGGAAGACAACAGCCAACCACTCAATCACCCCATGTCATTCCTCAAGCGTCCTGCTTCCCGATATGTCACAGGTAGAGCGCTATTTCTCCACTCCATTGCGATCATGCACGGGGAGGAGTTTTTCTGAGAAAGATCGTCCCGCGGAGTCGTCCCTGATAGGGCGCGCTGCTGCTGCAGATTGACGATGCTGGGATCTCAAGCTGTCTGTCTAGAGCCTTCCGTCTGCATGACATCTCGCTCCGTATTGCAGTGGCGCTTAATGGCACACCTGCTCCGTTGAGCCCAGCGGAGCCCCGGCGTGTTGCGAAACCGGCGAGGCGGAAGGACAGCGAGGTTCGCGATTGGCCTGGGATTCCTAATTGACGCTCGCCAGGACCCGAGGTGCCTTACCTCTGACTTACTACTTTAGAGTAGGCAAGCTGGTTGTTTGTTTGTTGAAGACCATGTCGGCAAGATGTGTCATGTAAGCGCTGCGATGGGGCCAACGGAACCGATGAGAGCCCCGTTGCCGCTGGAGTACGGCGCCAAGGGAAACACTCGGATTTAATAGAGGACTAGCATCCGAGCAAACATGGAAGTTGGAATCTTGTATTGATAGGGTGGGCGGCTGCTAGATCGAGGCTGTCTGGATCTCTACTAACCCAATCTGTATTATTGCCTGCAGGATGCTTGGCCATATGAATGGACTTGGCATCTTTGTTATAGATATGTCTATTATATCATCCGCTGATATTACCCGATCTAACGCCTGGACGCAGATTATGAATTGGTTGTACGAGGCGAATAGCTAAAGAACCATCTTATTTTGGAACTCGTCCTCTGGCATAAACAGTCCTCTCTTGGCATTCCCCCGCACATCGTCCAGACTGACTGTTGATATTGTTGGGTGACGGAAACCCTATTGTTCATCGTACAACAAAGGTATCAGGGCACAACCACCGCTCGTCAAGTGTGTCACACCATCACTCGCACAACGTTTCTTCAGGTTATTCCGAGGTACCTTTGGATACCCGTCTACATGGGTCTAAGTTGATCTGGCAACAAGCATTGGCAATGTCATCATGATCCTGCTCGTACCACTGTATGACTCGGGTAAACTCCCGGAAACTAAGAAAGATAAGAATAAAAAATAGAAAATAAGATAAAATCAAGTAAAATAAAATGGATTCCTGCAGGGCACATCACAGAAGTGACGCCGGTGTAGAATCATAGGTACTGAGCGACGAGGGAATTAATTAGATGAAAGGTGGGTAATGGGTATTCGTCTCGAGGTATCCTAGTCTGGTCTTGGATAGACTGCAAATAAGAATTATCCGATAACGGAAACACGACTGGGGATGCCTTCCTGGGCATCCTGCCTGGGGCATTCATCATCATCGGCCAATGAGTCCTGGTGTCAGCAGAGGTCACTTTGCCAAATGCGTGACTGCACTATACGGCGCCCCCTTGTCCAGAGGATTTGGTCAGCGTGACGAAACTTCCAGGGTGCTTGCTGGCTTTGCCTTCGCGGTCGGGGAACGAACGGCGGTGAGAGGGGAGATCAAATCGAGTCGGGGATTGATGCTGCAGTGATCCGTGTGGGATTGAGTTGGCTGGGACAGTATAGCAACGTCCTTGCTTCCAGAGATCCTCGAGTTTCTTTGAGTGATATTGCCATCCGGATTCCTCCAGCCTCCACGAGGAGGATGATGACCGGGCTGCGATATGAATGGGTTCAGTCCCACCAATGAGAGACATATACTCTAAATCAACCAACCTATATCAACAGACATAAGGCCTAGGGACCTTGGGTTGGATCGAATCATCCATCCCACACCGACAGCAATGCCCAGTACCATCTTAGTCAGGATCCACTGCGTCTGACGGGAGCAAGGGCATTCCACCGCAAGGAGTGGCCGCGATTTGACAACGTGCCTCTGTTAGTGTGACTTGGTAATTACTAGTAATGGAACGATGGATCACGAACTAGGTAACCTTGAATCCGTGACAAGAAATCGAGAAAAGAAAAAGAAAGAAACAAAAGTCCAAGTCTGGTTGTACCAACGGATTATTAGTGGGGAAGTCAGTCCTGCTTGCTCAGCTCTTTATCTAACTGAGGACCCCACCTGCCAGGTGGTATTGTTCTTTCTTCCTCCTCTTCTTCTTCTTCTTCTCCTGCGACTGTTTTTCTGCCCCTTCCTCTACTACTTCTTTTTCTGCTCCTTTTTCACCTCGATTCTAGAGTTTCGCCTCCTCACTGGGTACATCCGGTATGTGTGGTTGATCTCGTACCGGCCGCAGTACTAGTGGTTGGACTAACCCGATACTATTGATGCTAGAGGGTGATCCTGGACGACGATTGGTTCTTGGACTGTGGCTGAGGTGGCAGACGGTCTGACGGGACAACATAAATCCGAACTGTGGCACAGTCACTTGCCGAGCCAGCCCCGATTCAGGGGCCGATCGACATTCGACCACTCCGATCAACCCTTCAGCCCGAGCGGTGAGAGATTGATTAGCCTGTTTGAAGCAAGGCTGGAAAAAAAAAAAGAGAAAAAATAAAGTGAGAGAGAGAGAGAAGAGAGAGAGGAAGAACAAGGCTACAGTCAAGCTCACGGCTGAGAATTGATTTGGACCGGTTGGAGTTAACTCTTTCCTCCTTTGGGGTCTGTATTCAATTTCTTTTCATTGATCCTCAGAAAGGATCTTATCAATTGGTATGTGTTCTTCCATTGATTCTTTCATCCTTCTTCCCCACCCCTTTCCTTTGCCCCCCCTTGGGATCCGTCGGATAGTGATTGTGGCTATCCCCGTGACTGACTAGTCCCGTCTTCTTTTTCTTTTTCTTTTTTTTTTTTCAGACTTCCTCAGTACACCACAGACCTTCTTGACGATAACCTTATCCCGGGGATTACCACCGGTCCGTCATCGTCATACGTCAAGATCCCAATCGCGTGCGATACCGCCAGATTCGGGTCGGTCTCCCCCGCAGGGTCTTTCGCGGAGAACCGTCGGTATCCCACTGATCCTGCTGAAAGACGGTCGCAAGAACTTCCCTCACCCCCGATTCACCGCGGGGAGTTGTTGCAATCATGGCTTCCTCATTGATTCCGAGGAAGTCCTATCCCACAGAGGCCGAGAATGCCCCCGAGCCGAATTGGTTCAAGCGCCAGGTCACGGGGGGTCTGCAGGCCGTCGCCCGGAGGGTCTGCTTAAATCCGATTCACACAATTGTCGTGGTGGCCCTCCTGGCCAGCACCACCTACGTGGGGCTGCTGGAGGGCAGCCTGATTGATACGGTCCGGAATCCTAGAAATGTCGCCGGTCAGGTCGATGTGGACACGCTGCTGCAAGGAAGTCGGACGCTCCGGTTAGGTGAGAGTACGTCGTGGAAGTGGCAGGTCGAGGATGCCCCGGCGGATGAGGAGTACAAGGTAGATAAGACTTTCACTCGGTTCTCAACTTGGTATGCTCTCGATCGCTCTCTAATTGCTCTGGTGTGTCCTAGGCCGCTCAGCATCTTGCATTGACTACCTTCATCTTTCCCGATTCCATGTCGAAGTCCGCGCCCACCGCCCCCCTGGCGAACGAGGTCCCGGTCCCGGCGAACGCCTCGGCTCAATTGGTCCCCCACACTCCGAACCTGTTCACCTCCTTCTCGTCGGACTACTCCCTGGCCTACTCTCTGCCGTTCGATCATGTCGAGGGCTTCCTGCGGGCCGTCCAGGAAATCCCCGAGCCGTCCGTCGCCGACGACGAGACAGAGCAGAAGAAGTGGATCATGCGTGCGGCGCGTGGCCCGGCCTCGAGCGGCAAGATCCGCCTGTGGTTTGCGGACGCCTGGAACTCCTTCGTGGATCTGATCAAGCACGCGGAAAGCGCCGACATCTTCATCATGGCGCTGGGCTATCTGTCGATGCACCTCAGCTTCGTCTCCCTCTTCATCTCCATGCGTCGTCTGGGTTCGAAGTGCTGGCTGGCGTCGACCGTCCTGCTGTCCGGCGTCTTTGCCTTCCTCTTCGGTCTGCTGGTGACCACGAAGCTCGGCGTGCCCATCAGCATGCTGCTGCTGTCCGAAGGCCTCCCCTTCCTCGTGGTGACCATTGGGTTCGAGAAGCCGATCATCCTCACGCGGGCGGTCTTGAACGCGGCGCTGGATAACCAGCGCCAGGGGGCCGGGGCCAACGGCGCAAACCCGGGGCATCCGACCCCCAATGCCCCGCACTCCATCCAGGACTCCATCCAGACGGCCATCAAGAAGCAGGGGTTCGAGATCGTCCGGGACTACTGCATCGAGATCGCCATCCTCGTCGCGGGGGCCGCGTCCGGCGTTCAGGGCGGGCTGAGGCAGTTTTGCTTCCTCGCCGCCTGGATCCTGTTCTTCGACTGCGTTCTGCTCTTCACCTTCTATACCA